GCAGGTGAGGACATTCTGAGGGGCTTAGAGGAACGCGCGCGGGAGGGATACGATTCCCCTCGTAGGAGCATTCGCGGCGGTGGCAACAGCAGTGAGGAAGAGGCAGGCGGAGTGGGGGGCCAAGGAGGGGTCAGTTGGGGTGGCGTCTTTGGGCTGCGGGACATGTTCAGGGAGATGGTGGCCGCCATCCGGGGACGATAGGAACGCCATGCGACAAGACGGTGTGTGGACTGCCATGAACGCGGGAACGGGCGTGTTGTCCGTGCGTTTGGAGGCAAGCTTGGAGGTTGACGTCTTCTATTCTCACTAGACCCGGAGATCTGTAGTTTAGCGTTTGGTATCACACAGAGGCTGTACTCACACTCAACAGCCCTTTACCACTACAGGGCTCGTATAATTCCTCTGCACACTATCGCACCGTGGTCCGCACGCGAATGATGCTAGACTGAGGGTAAGTACTATCATTATGCGGCGCGTCGTGCTGCGCCTGCCCCTTGAGCTCGCTGTCGAGTCCGGTGAGCATACCCCTCCCAGTGTCCCCACACCCGTGGCTTCCATTGATCATCGCGTTCTGCACGCTGCCCGCGATAGCCTGATGCCGCGCGGTTTTGGTGTGTGCTCTGACGGAAGCTTTCGCAGACGCCACAAGCCCTCTGATCACTGTGTCGCGCGCGCCGAGCCCTCCGTCGCGCAAACACAGTGTACAAACAAGCTCGAGCTAGCTCGAGCTTTCCTTCCCGGTGCGCAACCCGTCGCGTCTCCTGCTTCATCGCCCTCGCTCGCCGACGCGAACAGTGCGACGGCACGGAAGTCAAGCGTGCGAGGACGCGGGCAGAGACAATAGCGGGGAAGGGACTGGGAGTATAACGCCATTGCCCGATGTGCACGCCTCCAGAGCACGCGGGCGGAGACCAGGGCCGCCTCATGGCTGCCTCGCGCGGGCAAGCGAAGGTGCCGGGCATCTAATCTCCCTATAAAGCCTCCTCAAATTTGCCCACCCTTTCTCCACCCTCCTCCCTGTGTCTTCCAGACCAGCGAACCCCGCCGTCGTTGACCTCGTCGCTCGCCATTCCGCCTCGACCCCTCAAGCACCCGCCCACCCGAGCTCTTCGTCGCCCTCGGCTTCCGATCCTCGCATATCGTGCACCCCCGTTCGCTCGTTACTAGCAAGTAAAACCCTCCGCAAGTGATACCACCATGTCGTCCTACTCCGATGAGATTGTCGTGCGTATTCCCCATTCCGCGCAACGCTTCCCTCCATCTCATTCACATTGTCTCGCGCGTCATGCTTCGCCGCTTCTTGCCTGGCACCCTGCTCGCATCCTACAACGCACAATAGCCCGGAGACATTGTTGCCGTCCAGCATGCGACTGGCAAGAGAGAAGGCCTCGTCGTCGGCTCTCACGTTGACTACGCGGTACGTTCTTCCGTTCCTGCCCCAGGCCAAACCCCTGACACCTTGGGGATGCCTCCAGGGCCGGCAGATTGTCGAGGTCCAGCTGGAACCTGGTGAAATCTACCACGCATGGTGTGTCTTTCTCCAACCTTCCACGACTGCGCGTAGAGGCATCCTCATCGTCTTGGCCGGCGCAGGTATCCCTCCGTGACGCGCGTCCGCCGTACCGTCTCGTACCTCCCTGCGCCCCAGCGCAAGCGCACCATCGAGCGCACCATTTACTGGTGATTGCGCACCGTCTCTCTCCCTCACACTCGGATCCCACTATGTATTATTTCCGGGCTCGGCTTCCAGAGGCTGGGAACGGCGTGTGCTCTGGAACCCCTACGAACTCATTGCTCACTGACGATCAAACTATCGCAATTGTGTACCGACGTTCTACCGTTCATGCACGCTATCCCCGTTTTGCCCTCTTGCGCAGGTATAGGCGGCGTTTGTAGTGTAGGATTCACCCCCGCGCACCGGCGCGTGCTTGTGACATAGCTAGGACGGTGCTCTGCTCCAGTGTACGCTCTTCCCTTGTTCTCAGATCGGACGGGTTCTTGCTTTCTGGTTCTTGCGCACTCCGCATATGTATGTAGATAGACTTGCGTTCATTTATCACCTTCACGGAACGATCCTCTCTGGATGATCAAGGACGCTGTACATCTATCTCCTTGCTTCACAATGTTAACTCAGTTCAACTTGCCTCTGACCCTGAATGAAATGTGGGGCAGGACTAACACAACGTGTATTCCTTCATCGTGAGTACATGAGGAAGCCCGCGCGACGTACGAGGTGAGTAAGATGATCCATAGTGTAAGCCAATAAGAATTACAAGAGCGGGATGAGTGGGCCTATGCCCGTAGCGATGTTGCTGGAGAGTTCGACTGCGTCGGAGAGACAGGGTTGCCGTCCGCATGGGAGACTGACCTCCTCGTCTTCCTCAGACGGCCGGACTTGGATGGAGAAGAGGGCGGTAATGGGGGGCGTTGTGGACTGCCCGGGTCGGCGTGGCCGTTTGAGTAGTGCGAGTGGTGAGAATGTGCGTGTCCATTGGGCACACTGGCATCCCCGTTCAGGGTCTTCTGACTAGACTGGCTGGCCTGGCTGGATTGACTGAAGGTGGACACTGCAGTGACGGCCGAACTTCCGCTTGTCGACCGCGACATGGGCGGCGGTGCTGCGACGTTGGACGTAGACGTCTTCTTGGCCGAGCTGGAACGCCCAGCAGATACTCGACGGACAACCCTCGGGTCGACGGAGCGCTCCCTCTCTGCACGTCTTTCCTTCTGCTCGCGTTCCCTAGCGTCGTCGTTGGGTATGCGCGCCGCGGAGGGTGTTTGCTCACGAACGTCCGTCGTAGATGCACGTGTCCCATCAGGCCGAACGGTTTCTTCGGATCCGCGCGGCGGAGTAACGTACAACGATCGTGGCTGTTGGACGCGCTCGTAGTACAGCATGAACGCGCCGGAACCCTCCTGTAACACGCGCTCGATCCCAACCTCCTGCACCGAATCGTCGCTGATTCGAAGCCAGCCTCGCCCGGACCCCGGCCGTGCGGAGTCTGGCCACTCGTCATCGCGGATGGGGCCGTAATGCTGACATCGTTGGCAATCGCAACCAAGAGGACAGGCGAGTCGTGGCGGGGCGTAGCGGTGCTCACCTGCGGCTGGCGGACGGGGTTTCCGGCGGAAACAGATATAATGTCCGAAGGAGTGCTGGCCGTAGTGACATACGACAGCGGAAAGACGATAGAGCGTACGGGGAACGGCGTACGTGGACGGTGTAGGTGTGATTGAGCGCTGGATTGGTATGGGAGGAGGCGGGGAAGAAATGGGAGCAGAGGGCTGGGTCGACAATTGGCCGGAAGTGGTATAGGGCGTGAGATCAAGAATCTCGGGGAAGACCACTCGACAATTGTTTTTTGCCGCATAGTGACCGTAGTGCATAGAGCGATTGAGATGAAGGGCGAGGACAGGTGGTGGCTGGGAACAATCAGGTATAGAACGAATAAAGACGGAAAGAGGACGCACCCGTGCAATCATCGACTGCTTTGTCGACGCTTTACTGAGCACCTTCTCCAGTTTGACGCCTCTGATGTCCTCCTCTATCCGGCCCTCGTCCAACGCAGCCTTCACCCGAGCCAACAACTTTTTGCTGTCGCGTGCCCGCTTCTTCTTCGAAGACGTAGGATCGTTGACCGCCTGAGAGGCCTCTGTCAGCCTGTCGGCTTCATGTTGTAGTCGCTGGTATGTCGCAAGCATAGAGCACTTTCGACATATGCAATCGTTGAGTAACTCTAGCCTCGTGTAATCGTTGAGGCAGTCCTCGAGTGTGCACCCAGCCTGCTATGACATCAGATCTACAAGTACAGTCGCGACGTCATAGGGACTTACGGCCATACGCGGTAAGGCAAGCTGCCAGTTGTCGAAGGGGAAGTGCATGACGGCCTCCGTGTACCCGCATTCCACGCAGCTACGCCTGTTTGCTGTCAAGCCATCGAAGACAGTCTTGCTCATGTCGCGACTGGCACGATCCTCTTTTTGCGTCAACCCGCCCAAACCACGGTCCCGTTGCATTTCTTTGGCAACGGCGACAGCTTCACTCTTGATACATTCCGACAGCAGTTGGAACAATTCCTGTGCATCCTGGTGTTCCCGCGACGAAAAGAGCGAATTGTGTTTGCCGTAATTGTGGTTCGAGAGCGCGCTAATGATGTCCACAGGGCGGATGGCTCGTGAGGAAGAGGAGGGTGTATTGAGCACTGCGGCATCGAGATTAGCGGCGTACACGCAAGTCTGAGATGTTACCCACTATTGAGTAGGTCTCGCAAAGAGTCGATGACTGGAGTAGGTACGTCCAGAACCTCCGCATGCGCGTGTATCTTCCCCAGTTGTGGTTGCAAGTAGGAGAGTGATGCCATAGCCTGGAGGGAGAGAGTAAGGGCAAGCGGTCTAACCAACTATGAGAAGATAACTCACCTGAACAGTAGAGTTCATGAAACAGTATGTTCCGGAGATGTTGACCAGACCAGGATAGTATCCATCCTCGCTTGCACTGTCGTATGAGCTATCTAGGGCATCGTTCATCGCTGGCAGTCCAGACTCTACAGCCGCTGCATACCTTGGCTTGACGTTCGTGCTACTTGATCATCCCGAGAGCGAGTGTGCTGCTTGCGCCTGAGCTTCCTCCTCTCCGAAGATCCACTGCCATGGGACGTATTGTCAGACCAATTCCAGGGTAGTATGAGTGCAAGCGTGTCGAAGACCATCAAGACGTTGGCTGTAATCGAATGTCTGTGCGAGTTGATGACCAGGACAAGAGTAGGAACGACGAGGAGAATGACCAGCGGCGCGATCTGTTGGAAAGCAGAACTGGCAAGGAGAGTATGGAGATGGTAGCGGAAGTCGTCGTGCAGCAGCATCTAGCTTCGCTCGTCAGAGCTCTGTACAGGACGACATGAATGGGGCGAAGCAAAGCAAGCAGCCACCAAGTCAGCTCGTCACCGGCCACGCCGAAGTTAGTTGTGTGTCAGGGTTGCTTTACGTGACAAAATATGTATGGCTACCTGGCGCAATGGTAGCGCGTTTGGCTTCGATCGCTTAACGGCTACATCCCTACCTTGGGGGCGACCAAAAGGTTGCAGGTTCGAGTCCTGCGGTGGTCATTCTTTTTAAAGCTCTCCAATGTCAAACTTCTGTTACGAATTGCACAGAGTGATCGCCTGGAGAGCAGAAAATCGAATTTGCGCGGGTAGAAGTCAGGAGGAGGACGAACTCATGATAAGCGCTCACGTGCTCGACGCGTTGAGAACGCGTCTGTGGCTGAATGTTCGAGTCTTTGATGTTTGCTAGCCTCTCGAGTCTCATCGTCTAAATCCCATCTCTGCTGTGCCTTCACTACGTCTCGTACACGTAACACACTGGCAGCTTCCCAACTCCTCAACGAGTCGTCTCTGCCTGCCGCACGGCGGAGAGTACTGTGATCCTGGCGGCGTGACTTCTTGACGGGGCTCGTCTTCTTGGTTAAATGGCTGCCGCAGCTCTTCTCTCCCGCCATTCCTCCAATCCACTCGAGGTACCTTCCTCCGACGTACGTAACAGAGCGTATCTCAAACATCTCATGCAAGTTGAACGCGAGTACGCTGGCGACGAGCCGTCGTCCGACGATCCTCTCAGCCACTACAACCTACCCCAGATGGAACAGTATCATACCCATCTCGCGCAGCTGTACCCCAACTCGAACATGCAGTCATACCAATATGGACCGCCCAACAGCAATCTTGCACTAGAGACTGTCGGCGGCGTAGAGGGAGTGGAGGACGGAGACGAGGAGATGCTCGCCGACGAGGGTTCAGGGGACGAGGACATGGCAAATGGCGCGGAGGATAACCAGGCGGACGAGGACGAGGAAGAATCAGAGGACGAACCGGAGGAAGACGACGATACCGACGAAGAAACAACTATCTTTCTGAAGTCACGCGAGGAGCAGGCCGAAATTGAGGAGGAGATCGTCGACCTCGAGAACGCTGTCCCGCAGCTCATCGAGGACTACAAGATCATCGACCGGTTAGGAACAGGCACCTTCTCTGCTGTCTATAAGGCCATAGACCTCGGCTACCACGACAAATGGGACAATACCGAGTGGCATGGACACCATCCCAAATCCTCCTCCGCCTACTACCAGACCGCCCCGCACTCCTCGGAGAGCAAGGTGTTCGTTGCCATCAAGCGGATATATGTCACCAGCGGCCCCGAACGAATACGAAACGAGATCGCTATCATGGAAGACTGCCGAGGGTGTCGACATGTTTCTCAACTCATCACCGCGTTCCGACATCAGGACCAGGTCGTCGCCATTATGCCGTACCACAAGAACGAGGATTTTAGGGTATGTGCTCGTGTCCGTGTATGCGCGGTATCATTCAGCGCGAGTCAGGCGCGAACAGGTGCATGCCCGTTCCCATCCGTACACGCACGGTGTTTGCGGTGTCGTCTCGCACGGCTTGCGGCAGGCTCTTGTCGTCCCTACGAAGTTGTCTGCGCTATGCCGTCTGCCTCCTGATCCGTTGACATGGGATTCGCGTGTTTTGCCATCTCTGTGAGCTAGTTCGTGAAGAACTCATGGTCTACCGCACGGCTGTGCGGAGCCCAACGAACGTTGCATTGAGGGCGCACCCTATTGCATGCACAGAGATAGTCCTCGTCGACATGTTCTCAATCTACAATTGACCTCTTTCGGGACTCGGACGAACGTACTTACGGACTGCTCGCAGGATTACTACAAATACCTTCCTCTTGAGGGGGTCAAATCGTACTTCCGGTGTATGTTCCGAGCGTTGCGCGACATCCACGCTCGGGGCATCATACATCGGGATGTGAAGCCAGCCAACTTCCTTTTCGACCCGCGCACAGGCATTGGTACGCTGTGTGACTTTGGTCTTGCTTGTGTACGTTTTTCGCTTTCGTATCGTCGCTCATGGGAGATGATCAAACAACTGCGTCGCAGCGCGTTGAACGCGGTCCGACACTCGGCGCGTGTCTGCATACAACGCCAACGCGCGAGTATCCGCATGGGCGGCTGAAGGCGCGCACCGAGTTCGACATTGATAATATCAAGAAGATGCAGAAGGAGGGGCGTCTTCGGAGCGCGGGGCAGTCAGACAAGGTCGGATATCCGGAGAAGGACACACGGTCAGTTATGCTACCAAGCATTGGGTACTTTGTTCATGTCTGATGTTGCGTGCAGACCACACTCCAAAGCTAATCGTGCTGGAACAAGAGGGTTCCGTGCGCCGGAAGTATTGCTAAAGTGTGGCGAACAGACGGGCGGTATGCATAACCAAACTCCTTGGCTACACCGGATGCTTATACTCGACTCGCAGCGATCGACGTTTGGTCCGCAGGGATGATCCTATTATTCTTCCTCACGAAGAAATTCCCGTTGTTTCAGTCCAACGATGACACTGAAGCACTCATGGAAATCGCGACTATCATTGGACGAAAGCGCATGGAGAAGACGGCCACCTTGCACAGTGCGTACATCCAAATATCACTACATCCATATGGCTGACATGATCGGGTGTGCTAGGTCGCGTCTTCCAGACCAACGTGCCATCCCTCACCCATGATGGCATATCCTGGAAGGAGTTCGTCCAACGACAGAACCCTGATGTCCGGGTGCCGCCCTCGCCTAACGACCGCTATTATCCTTACACTCTCCCCGAATACCGCGTCCGAACTGGCCGATGTCCAGCTTCCTCGTCTTCTCCCGGCTCTTCTTCACAATCCGACAGGTCGCCGTCCCCCACGGTTTCCGAAGCGGACAAATACTCGGCGGAGATCGACGTCGCCATCGACTTCCTCGAAAGGGCGATGGAACCAGAATCTATTCGCCGAATGACGCCGCGCACAGCCCTGTACCATCCCTTCTTGCGTGACCCAGATGCGGAGGAAGACGATGTGTATGTACCGCACCCATTTGGGGACGGGGTGTGCGGGGAGCTGCATAAGATCGACGATGCTGATGATCTCTGCATCAAGGTCCAGGTGGAGGGAAGGAATGGATGGGTGACCCGGAAGGTGCAGGCAGGGGAGGGCATCGCAATCGGGCGAAGGCCCTGTGAGTACCACCAGTCTATAGATTTTAGTGTACCGAGATAAGCCATTAGGTGAAACTAGTGTTCTATTCCCTGTACCTTACCATAATTATGTACTTATACTATCAACGTATGATCAGTGTACAGAATTTACTATTAATCTGGGCGCTCCGTCAAACGCCCTTTAAGGCATTATTATATGCCGTAAGGTGACCTGTCAACCTTATTGATCTCTAATCTATAAGGAAATAACCCACCCCTCTGAATGAGTTCCTTCGGCAGAACCAGAGGCTTGTGAAGGCTTGCCATTGAACAGGTAGAATGAAACTTTACCATCCTAACCGGAACTTTGATTTTGCTCGATAAAAGGCAGGGAGAAATGTTCTGGGAGGAATAGCCCACTTCATGTCCCACCACACGTCACGCCGCGTCACACTCTCTCGCCCGGGGCGGCGCTTGCGCAGAGGTACGTGTCCAGCGGTCTCCTGGGTTCCGAGAATTCACCGGGGACTCCTGTAGCGTACTTCGAGATCTTTGGAAAACCCTCCAATGAGTGTTTCAATGCCCTATTAAAAGACCTATGGCGTCTCGAAGGTCAAAAGAACTATACCAAGAAAAACTTACACAATTGGTTCTCGCGCTCAGTGTGGCCACCGATTGGTGATTAATTAAGCTGTAGCTGGAAGGATAGGAAGATGTTCAGAGAACAGAGCGATTGCTTCGATGAATGTATCCTTATATCTGACCCAACCCTTGATGCGAGCGGCGACCCGGAAGTCGTCCCTCTCGAGGCGCCCAGTAGGCGGTTGTTTGGTTCCAAGGCTGTTGCCAAACAAACGGCCAGAATGGGCCATCTTCTCCATCCAAGACATTTTCTCTCGAGTTCGCGAGGGTCCACACTTACTAGCCCTGCCTGCTTTACGCTTCCCTCTGGCCATAGGGACACATTATCTCTCGGCCGACGCCGACCATGGGCTCATCTTCATCACCTGGCAAACAGAGGCGTACTACTACTGCTGGACCTTCTACCTCTTCGACACCCCTTCCCGCGACTACCGTCGGATTCACCGTACTTCCTATCACCTATTCTCAAACCGCCACGCACGTTCTGTATGCGCGCTCTCACTCCGCTCCGAAGCACAAGGACAGTAAGGGCAAGCAGCGGGAGGAGTTACCAGAAGGACGGACGTTATTCCTGGTGAACGTGCCTCCAGATGCGACGGAGCGCGAATTGACGGTGCTGTTCAAAGCTTGCGGCACGGTGGAGAGGGTGGTATTCAGCACAGGCGGGAATGGTGCGCAAGCCGAGCAGGAGGCTAACGATGGCGGAGAAAGCGAGGATGGGTCCGGTACGGACGAAGATCAGGAGGGTGGGGACGAGGAAGGCTCCGGGAGTGAAGAGGAGGGGGAAAACAACTCGCGGCCGAAGAAAAAGCGTAAAATCAGTCATCTTGAAGGTCCTCAGGTAGTGCCGCTGCCCTCCGTACCACTACGGACACTGCGACGTACTGGTCACACTGCCTATGTCGTCTTCCTGGATGCTTCCTCCCTTGCACGCGCTCTCAAGCCCCCACAAAAGCCATACGTTTGGCCCGTTGATATTGAGACCCCTCTGGGACTCGCACACTACTCAGCGCTTTATTCTTCCCTCCGACCACCGCTCGATGTAGTTCGCGCGCATGCCGACTCGTGGATGGAAGCGTTTGAATACGAACAGACCAAGAAACGGCAGGAGAGCAAGTACCACAAGGGCGAGGCGATCGTGGACGAGGATGGTTTCACACTGGTCACCCGAGGCGGCGCGTACGGCAAAACACTTGGCGGCGGCGTGGGCGTCATGAGCAAACAGTTCATGAACGAGCAGGGCGAGAGTGCCGGTACCGGCGGCGGGAAACGTCACCGGAAAAAGAAGGAGAAGGAGAAACAAGCATTCTACGCATTCCAAATTCATGAGAAGAAACGGAAAGGTTAGTACGCCTTTCCTGCCGGCGGTTGCGTTCTCGCGATAGTCGTGTGTAGTGTGCTTATCTCTTCATTCTAGAAATTATCGACCTCAAGAAGAAGTTCGA